TTTCAGCCCTGAGGCCCCCCCACCCCCGACCCGCCACCCTAGACTAACGATGAGAAAAACATGGGACAGATCCCAACGGGGGACAACACACAAGACAGCTGACCAGTTCTCACAACTGTCAAGATTGTCAAAACCAAGGGAAGTTTGAGAAACTGTCTCGGTCCGGAGGCACCTAAGGAGAGATGACAACCAATGGTTGCATGAGATGCTGGGACAGAAAAAGGACATTAGGGAAAAAACTGAGATGTGAATAAAGCGTGGACTTTAGTTAACAATTATGTCTCAATATTGGGTTCCTTCATCATAATGAACAGACCAGCCTAGGGTAAAAAGATAAAAATACAGGAAATTGTGAGGGGTTTATGGGAATTCTTTGTATGGTCTTTGTGATTTTCCCACAGAGCTAAAACTAATCTGAAAAATCAAGTTCACTAAAATGCAAAAACAGGCAAATAAATGCTTCTCAGAATGATTCTCTGGCTGGGATAAAGCATTTGGGGTAGAAGTTTGTTATCAGCCCTGGCCCAGCTGGGGAAGGACGGAGGAGGAGGCAAAAACCGGGTCCCAGAGACCCAGGACACACACTGAAAAGGAACTTTTCAAAAGAAGGGCTTCTCAGATACCAGAGGGGCTGGGCCCGTGCCTGCCCTGCCGTTTTCAGTAAAGGCCGATTCTGATGTGCAACATTCTGGGCCTCTTCGGTCCTTGCAGTGGCATCTCGCCCCCTTCCTGTGTGGTTCTGGGGTTGGAGTTTCCTGCACTCATTTCTCTGGGCTCAGGCCACTGAGCTTCACCAGTTTTGGTCATCTTCCCCAGAGAGGACTTGGCCTGGGCTGTTTCGTCTACCTGGGGACAGCGAGGAGCAAAGCACGGGGCAAATCTGCGGTACCCTCACCAGTTTCTGAGGTCGTCCCAACGGTTTTGTGCAAGCTTCTGGAATGTTCCAGGGGACTGCAGCTGCGTCCTGGGGGAAAGCCGTCCCAGTATTCCGATTCCGAGGACAGGCCCGTGATGTGAGGCCTGCCCTGCTGTCCCTCTCAGAGACTGGACGAGGCCCCAGGGAAGCGTGTGCAGGAGTCTGAGTTCAAACTGCAGTGTCGTGACAAGGGCCGCCTGCTCTAGCCACAGGGAGGTCCCAGCCAGCCGGTTCTGAAGCACTCTGCATCCTGAGAGACCGGGCGAACCCGGAAAACTTCCAAAATGGACTTTCTCTATGGCCCGAGAGCTTGCGCAAACGCTTGGGATTTAAACGGGAGGGCTGGAGCTGGCTTCCACCTCCGTGCCCGAGGCCGCCCACCTCTGACACCGGGTGGGAACGCTAGTGCAAGGAAAACGTTTAAATGGGAAGGAAAGAAAAAGAATCTTGTGTTTTGTATTAAAATATTTTATATTAATCATTCAAACTTAATTTTTATACAATGAATGCATACATCACCAGGGTGTCTGTCTCAGAGGGAGGTCGGGGAGGCATCAGGTGGGTGAGCCCTGGGCACGGTACTGGCCCGGCTGTGAGCAGGGGATGAAAGGCAAGGAGTCGGGTGCTTCCTCTGCTGGTTCCAGCAGGGAGGAAGGGCTGGGTGCTGCCACTGGGCAGGGATGTCACAGCAGAGAGGTGGGCCCGCGGGCCTCTCCGAGGGGTGCCTCCACCAGGGTGAGCTGTGCTTCCTCGCCCCGGGCGAGCTACCCAGAGCCCGAGGCCCCCCGACCAGCGAATCCTTGACCTAAGAGTGGCTGTGACATGTCACAACATGAAACGGGAACCGCCGAGGCTGAGTGTGTGTGTATATGTAGAGACCTCCGAGTTCTTGCCTGTCGCAGGCCCACCGCTGCGGCCGTCCTGCCGGCAGGCACGTGCATGGTGGCCGGTGGCCTCGCCTAGGCAGCGGGCATGTCGGCCTTGCTGAGCGCAATGGCCAGCTCCAGGTCCTCCTGTTCCTGCCGCCGCAGCCGCGCCAGCCGCTCCTGTTCTGCCTTCTCGCTCTCCCGCTTGGCCCATGCCAGCTGCTGCTCCTCATTGCCAAACTGCAAAGGAAAAAACGGAGGTTGGGTTACCCAGTCCCGGAGCTGCCTGCTGGCTGGGGCCAGGAGAACACAGAGGCCTGTCGCCAGTGGGTGGGAGCAGGGGATTGCGATGCTGGGATTCATGGGGGGAGGTGCCCAGGGTGCAGGTGAAAACCAGAAAAAGCCAGAAGCCCTTGTCTTGGTTGGGGGTTGGGAAGGGACAAGCATGCCCCAGTCCTGACCCTAGCCTGGAAGGGGCCACATGCATGGAGACGCAGAGCTGAGTCTGACCTTAACTGTCACCTCCAGCCTCATAGAAACCTGCTGTCCCACCACTGCAGGGAGCAGAAGCAGGTGGCAGCCAGGCATCAGTTGGGGGATACTGAGAGACTTCTGGCGATCCCCTAGGACCGAGTCCAGGAGGCTTCACGGGGTATGAGGGAGAGGCCAGCTGGGGCATCTCTGGAAGCAGCTGGGGAGCAGAGATCAGCGAGCTGAGCCTTGAGGAGCTGGGACAGCGAACTCGCAGAGCCCGGGCCTCGATGCCTGGGTGAGAGGTGCTGGGGCTGGCTGGAGAGTTCTGCCTCGGGCACATCTCTGAGTTTCAAACACATAAAGGGGCCTTGAGGCGAAAGGTGGAGACGACACGGTCTTGAAACGGGGCATCTGCACCTGAGCTACGGTCCTGAGAGCTCAGGGAGACACTGAGAGCCACTTCGAACTTGAAGGTTTACAGGAGCCCCAGCGTTTACGCTGCTGTTCAGTCCAGGAGTTCTCCATTCTTGGGGTCCTTTCCCGAAAGTTTCAATTTTTTAAAAAATAATTTTTCAAAACAAGGGAAGAGACAGTTTTGATCCCAAGACAGGTGACTTCACACCATTCAAGGTACCTGAGCTCCACGGAAAGAAAAGCAAAGCCAGATCTTACATGCTCTTTCCCTGGGTGGGTCCTTGACGTCCCAGACGTCCCAGCCATGGGGCTCTGTCTCCAGGTAGGCAGCCCTGAGCAAAGCTGCAGCCCGTTCGGGCTCCTGGCCTCCCTTAATCAGCGTCTCTTCTGTGCATGGACTCTGCACCAGGAACCACTGGATGACACCAAAGGTAAAGAGGTGCCTCGGAAGCAGAGTCCCACGGACAATCCTGATCTGAGCGAGGCTCTCACAGAGGCCCTTGCAGACCTCCCAGGAGCACCGAGGAGGAACAGAGACAGGAATGCATGGCCATGTCTTCACATACACACACGCGGTCTGAGTGACAACCCAGGAGGTGGGCTTTGACAGCTGGCAACACCACGGCCTGGGGGAGCGTGCAGAGCCTGGGCCCTCGGGACTCTGGACTCCTCCCTGGTTGGGGGGAGGGTGTCAGCTGTCACTGCAAAGTCAGGGTACAGGACAGCAACGGGCCCTGGAGGCCTGGGCACCATCCCCAGTGCAGTTCCAGCTGTGGGCAGCCCAGTGCCCAGAACTGGTGCTGCCAGAACAAAGCACAGGTGGAAGGGGCCGCACCTCGAGGGGCTTATGGGTCCCAGCAAGGAGGCTCCCTGGGCAAGCGAGTGGGGCAACTGTGTTACCAGACTGGCAGCTTCTGAGTGTTTTGTGACCTAATGGCCAGTGTTGGGGTGAGACAGGGCCAGAGAGTAGGGACTGGGGCAGGGAGGGCCAGGTGAGGGGAACCTGGAGGCCTCCAGGAGGCAGAGGAGGCAGGACAGCCCAGGAGGCCTCTTTCCACCTGCCTCGGGAGTCGGGCAGGTGGGGGTCAGCATGGAGAAAGAGGAGCTGTCCCCAGGAATAAGGCTTAGTCCTGGTTTCTCAGAGAAACTGCCCAGAAAAAACGCTCAGGAGTCTGAAGGGTCTCCAGGTTGGACTCCCGAAAACTGGTCCCCACCCCTAATGTCTCCACCTCTAGTCACAGACAACTGTCCTCCCACCTCCATCCCCCGTCCCTATACTCTTCAGGGAATTTTCCAACATCTCTTTAGGAGAAAAACAAGGAAAAAACAACAAATACAGATGGAATACTCCACGGTGCCACTGACAGCAGCAGGAGAGGACCGCTAGGCCGACAGACCTCGCCCTCCCAGCCCAGAGGAGAGGGTGAGTGGGTGCCGATGAGGGATGACCGAGGTGGTCCAGACCAAAGCCAAGAACCAGGGCCTGGAGGAGTCAGGGATCGGCTGAGGCCCCAGGGCCAGGGACCGCAGGCTGCACCCACACCACGGTGCCTGCTCAGCCCCAGTGTCTCAGGACATCACCGCAGAGCCTCTTGCTCAAGGAGTTTGTGTTTTCAAAGTAAATGTGCTGACAGGAATGTTCCAGATGCCTTCAGAATGGGCTGGTCTGAAGTCAGCTTGGGATCCAGGATGGAGACTTGCATCAGGCACGTGGTCTGCGTGCATGAGAAGCAGGATGGACGGTGATGACTGAGAGAGACTGGAGGAAGGGGCTTCTCTGTGGCTCCTGCTGTGTTTCGAGTCAGCAGAAAACCCTTCCTGGCCTTGGTGGGGATACTTTGACTTGGGAACGCCTGTGGGCGCAGTAGCTGCTCTGTGAATGGCACGCTCTGATTTCTGCTTTGCTCTTGCGACGTCGTGGACCCGAGACCCAGCAGGGCACGAGCACTCTGTCCTTCTGAGATGCCTCCCTCGCCGGGGCCTGACGGTCACTGAGCGGTTTTATTGCAGCAGCCTCCCTGCAGAAACCGAGGTTCAGAGGCCTGCGCGTGAAGCACCAGTGCCTTTCCTCACCGGGGATGCATACACGTGCCCCGGGGTGTCCACTGGCACGTCCGCGTCACTCATGGGATGCTTCTAGCTACCTTCTGTTAACTCATTTATTCTGCTGCTGAAATCACATCCAACTCACTCGACGACGCAAAGCGTGACTTAACCCATCTGATATTTGCTCTGTTCTTACTGCACACTTCCGGAAAAAAAAAAGCGTTTTTGCTAACCTATCAATGCTACTTCCTAAAAGACAAACTCGCTTAAGACAGAAAGGCTCGTTCTAAAAGAAATACTGGAGAGGTTTCCCGTGAACAGCTACAAGCACAACAGTAACCCATTGACAGAAACACGGGGCTTGTAAATCAGAAGGTTCCAGGGTGGCAGAGCTGGGGCGCCAAGGATGGGGGTGGGGTTTGGTTCACATGTGACACTGGCTTCCCTGAACTCCAACACGGACCAAGCTGCTTTCGCACAGGTAACAATGTGTCCCAGTGGCACTCTTAGAACATCCAGTCTGAGAGTCACACTGCCAGCCTGCTGGGCAGAGACCTCTCAGCGTCTACCTGGGGAAGCTGAAATACACAAACCAGAGGAAACAACTCTGGCCTTTTCCGAATTAGCACAGATCTTTGAGGTCCAGTGAACCTAGACACCACCAGCCAATGGATGGAGCTCCCAGACACCATGAAAATGCACAGACATCCTGATCCCCGGAGGTAGGGCAGTTGACAGTCAATCATGGTATCACCGAGGGGGACAAACCAAACCAGTCAGGTGTCCTGCCTCTCCCAAATCCTATCAGAGTGGGCCAAGTCTCCTGATCAGGTGATTTTCCCCTGGAAAAACTGGGGCGTCCCAAGCGGGAAAAGTGATTCTAAACATAAAACAGCCAGGCTGTACACTGGGCAGAATCCAATTCCTTGCCTGGAATTGACGGCGATTAAATACCAGGGGTGTTTTAAAGTTGAAGTTAACAACTGTTCTGGAATGGCCAGATATGTTGGGCCAAATGATAGCTTGAAGCCTTGGGGTTTAAAAAAAAATGTTTTCTAAAAACCAGCCATCGGGAGAGGGAGAGGGAGGGGGAAGGGGCAGGGGGTGGAGGGGCACAGGAAACAGAACTGTGCGTTTCAGAAAGTGCATTTCAGAAAGAGAACAGTCTTTTCTTCAAATTGCCGTTCAAATCCACTTACCCTTCCGCCCTACCCCACCTGAATCAGGCGTGAATAGCTCTATTTTTTTCATGGGGTTCAATATTTTTCCACTGAAAAATAAAGGCAGCGCTATTCAAGAAACTGCAGATAAAGCAGGTTTTGTATCTGGCTTTTATTTAACAATGTTGCCATTTGTATATATCCAGTGTGCACTGGCTGTCAACAAAACCAGCTAACTGTAGTCATAAAATATTTACAGGTTGCCCAGAGCCAGGAAAGTGTCACCGTCTTGGGCGATACCAATCAGCCACAGGATAGCTGTGCACGGGGTGGATCTGAAATGAAGCGGGTGTTTGCTGGGCACTGATGTGGCAGAGTTTGTTCTAAAACGGATATTCTAGGAGTGGAAGCATCTATAAACAATACATCTCACATCCAATGAGGAAACAAGGTACTTTTGCAAAATCAAGTGAAGAAAACTTTTTTTTTTTTAAAAAACATAGGTGCACAACAGAGACTGAAACTGATTCTGAGAAGACACTATCTGATGCTCTCTGAGAACAAGACTCACGGGTACCGAGGAGGGGACTGAAAACACCCTGATGTGACAGTTTTACAATCTGGAATCTTTTTTTCACACCAAGAAACAAAGCCAGACTTTCAAAATCCCCGGATTAGCTTCTGAAAAGGCACTTAACGCTGCTTAATGACTTTCTGAGTTGGTTTTTTTTTCTTTTTTTTTCTGGCAAAAGGAAGGAACTTCAGAGCGCTTGTTCTAAATTGCAATTCAGTTTTCATCGTAGCTGGTAATTGAGATAAAAGTTTTAAAAAGTCAAATTGCTCTCCCTCCGTGTGAGCTGCCTGGGTCCTTCAATTCACACTTGCTGCACAAAAGGCACCAGGATGGGACCATCAGAACTCTGGCACAGGGACTTTTTTGAGGACAGCAAAACACGAATGCAACTCCTGCAATCTTGTTGTCATACTTCAGAAGCATCTGACATCTTGGCTCCCCCCCACCCCTGCGGTGTCAAAATCAATGAACACCGCAGCCTCAGGGCAACAGAAATAACACAATCTACCAGGAAGGGCAGAAATACAGGCATACGGGCCACCCTGCCAGAAGAAAACGCGCCCTTATCACAGAGTATCCAAACCAGAGCTCTTTTTTTTTATTGAGAAACTGTTTTCCTTACAGAATAAATAACAAGGGTGATAGCGTGAGGTACCGAGGAGATGTGAGCCGGGAAGGAGGTCTGCTATTCAAAAGAGACAGAAAAGTAACCCCGAAGAAGCTGCAAGCGGAGGGAGGGTAGGGGATGGCGCGGAGGTGGAGAACTCAACTTACAGAGGTGAAGTCTGCAAAGCCCAAGGAAGAGGCTTTAGAAGGTTTAGCTGAAGAGGAAGGAGCAAATGGATCTTTTCCACTAAACGGGTCCCCAAACCCCTTTTTATTTTGGAACGGGTCACTGCTGTCAGCCCCAAGTGGCTGGAATGGATCGGGGGCCTCGGGAAATTCTGCAGAACCAAGCTGGCTTACGGGTGTGCTTTTACCTGGAAAGTTTAGGAGAGAGGAAAAAAGAAAAACAAAAAAGGAGAAAAAAAAGAAATACAAGTTACTGACCGTGGACAGAACAGAGTCCCTGACGGAGGGGCCAGGCACGGGCTCCCTGGGAAACCCTATCCCTCTTTGGAAGGAGCTGGAATGCCGCTGGGGCTGGGGGGGGCTGGGGGGGGCTTTAATGGTTTGTGGGCCTGACAAGAAAACCACTTCAGATGACCCCCCCTCCCCTCCCCTCCCACCGCAGCTAAAATTTACATCATCTTTAAAAATCTCACATGCAGGCCTGTTTCAAAGTGATTCATTTTCGAGTGGCAACACATTTACTATCTCACTGAGTTAAAAAAAAAAAGTCATGGGTGAGCAGAAAAATGCACTGCAAGCTCCCAACAATAAAAAGGCGAGGGTGGGGGGTGGTATTTGCAATTAAAAAGGGGGATTAGTTTCCCAAGGTGTTAGCCGTGTTAGTCGTGAGGGTCTGGAGGCAGCTCACCAGACAAGCCCACTCTGCTGTCCTGGCGTTTAAATTCGTTTTCAGCTCCCGCTTCTGTCCCTTTGGTGTGGGTGGTTCCAAGGGGCAGGCTTTGGGCCTTTCTGGGCTCTTGCTGAGAGGGTGGCTCTGGGATGCCCAGGTCCCGGCAAGGCAGAGCTCCACAGGGGCGCAGGAGAGTGTTTAGAATTGGAGATGAGGCTGTGAGGTTGAGCATGGGGGGCCTGGCCTGAGGACAGGGGGCTTCTCCTAACAAGTCCTGCCAACGTGTCAGAATATTCCCCTAGGGACCAGATCCCTCTCCAGGCCTGCTTGGCCGTCAGGGCCCCACTTGATAAACCTCCGGGATCTGTCGGTTTTGCAGGCCAGGTTCCTGCCTGAAGCCATTCATTCGCCTGGGGTGGCCAAGTTACTGGGCACCCAGCGGGTGAGAGGTTCAATGTGGTAGCTCTGCATCCAAGTCCAGGATAGAGGCGCAAGGATACTAAATGTGATTCTGATTTGTTAACTGAGCTGCTCTTGGAATTTTGAAGGGAATGTGCAAAAAGAAACCAAAAGCCAAGAGCCACATTCCAAGGATGACCTTGGACACCCAGCTGCACATCCAGAGGATGCCCCTGGCCACAAGCCACGCCTGGCCCCCTGCAGCACCTGAGCCCAGGACACCTGCCTTCCTCATCCTGCTAGCCTCTGCCACACCACCTGCCCACACATCTATCTCCACACCCAGCTCGAAAACCAATCTCTCTGATGCTGACTCCCAGGCCACATTTCTGAGGCCCTCAAGGTGTCCCTAAGGGCTGCCCCCTCTGTCACCTCTAGTTCAGAGACCCAGACAAGGACATGCGCCTCAGCCCCAGCTGGCCTGTTTCTTGTCTGAGAAATGGGAACGAAGAAGTTGGGGGTAGAAGAGGTGACGTGTATGGTCTGCTCTTTGGAGCAGCACAGGTCTGCGCCCCACTCCAGGTCGCCTGGTAACCGGCACCGCAGTGCTGAAGCACAACAGGGCTCGGCATGTGGGGGATGGTGGGAACCTGGCCCAAGACCCCTTACCTGGACATGCAAGTTTATTTACTTGTTGCTCAACACTGCAGCCGGTGATCATTAGGTACAAATGCTGTCCCACTGGCTTTACCCACACATTAGAGACTCAAGTCACCAGTGATGCGGTCTTGCCACTGGCGAAGAGGTGGGGGCAGAGCCCGCCAGAGGCCCTGGTTAAAATCCCCACGCCCCATCCCACCTGAATCAGGACTTCTGGGCGGGAGGTGACGCCAGTGCGTGGCTTCGCCCCACCAATGGCGGGAACAGAGGCCCCAGGCCGCCCCGCCCCTCAGAGCTGCTGCTGGTTTCTTTTCGCATGTTCAAGGAAACACCGAGAGTCTTAGCTTCCCGAGGCTTGCACAGGACTCCGAAGTACAGGCAGCCCTGCTCCCGGCCTTCTTTCACCTCCTACAGTCTGAGCAGAGCGCCCCTCCGCCCTCGGCTGTGGCCTTGTGGGGTTCCCTTGTTGCCCCCTGTCCTTTCCAAGCTCTCACTGTCACCAGCAGCACCGCTGTGCCCATGTCTATTTATAAGAGTTGTTCCTGGAGGTGGGGCTGTGGGTCAGAAGGCATGCCCATTGTGGCCTGACCTTCCCAGTCACACTGCCTGCCCCAGGCTCCAACAGGACTCACCCCGACTGAGAGAGGGTGGGGGTGGGGGGAATAGGAGGCTACAGGCTAGGGCATCAGTCAGTCTCTCCCTGTGGCCTCGAATCAGTTCACAGCTCAGTTCACCGAATCTGTTCACGAGGCCCAATGTGCCAGGTGAGCCTCCGCCAAAGGCCCTGGGTGGGCCACACTGGCTAGATCAGGGACCCTTGCCCAGGAGGGTGGTGCCGAGTCCACACGCAGTGGGAATGAGGCCCTCTCTCCCCTACGCCCCACCTTCTGTACAGGCTGAGCCTTCTACCTCTGGTCCTTTCTCTCCTATTCGTGATAGAGCCACAGACTTCAGGCTGCCCCTCCAGCAGCCCCTCTCTGTGCTGTCCTCCCGGCTGTCGGCTCTCCCACCTCCTCCTCTCCCTCCCAGACCTAGGCCCCTGGGGCTCAGGAGAACAGGGGACCTGGATGCCGAACACAGCTTCCCTGGCTTGCTCTGCTGGCCTTGAACTGCGCCGCTCCAATGCCATCTCACACAGCTAGCCTACTCCCTGGACCAAGGGACAAGCCAATGGGTGAGCCAAGGCCTCCTGGGGAGAGGAGAGCACTGCTGGTGTCACCGCGGACCCCTTCCCCTCTCTAAGGAGGCAGGCAGGTGGGTAGCAGCTCTGGCGGGAGGGGTCGGGCAGGACCTGCCCAGCAGCTTACCAACTCCAGGCTGCACAGCTGGGAGCAGTGGGAAGCCAGGCGGAGCCCAGGGGCACCCTGGGTAGCAGGGAGGGTGGGTGTGCAGGTGGGTGCTCGGGTCCACATGACAGCATCACCACCCGAGGCTGGTGGTCCTCACCTCTCCCAGGTCCTGGGGACCCCCCGCCACTAGCTGTTCACCTCCTCTGCTTCTTGCCCTGCGGGCCACCCCAACTCAGCAAAGTGGCCTTTTAACTCAGAGCTGACTAGATGCTGCTGTGCCCTCCCCTGCTCTAAGAACACATGCCCAGCCTCGCCTGTCCCACCCAGCTCCCTCCTCGGCCCTGGCTGCTACCCGCGCTGGACTGCTCTTCCTCAGGTGAGCACCCTCCCCACCTTCGGCCAAGCCACCTCCCTGTCTACTGCCACTGTCACCTTTGTTGTGTCACCTGCTGTGTATTTTCTCTCTCTCTCCCTCAAGAGCTCCACAAGGCTGGGGGCCCCGCTGTCCAGTGCTGTGTCCCCCTGCCTAGGGCAGGGCCTGCTTACACCTGCTCTGCTAAATGAAGCTTCTAACACACAGCTCCATGGCGCCCAGCCCTGCCTCGGGCCTGCATGTCCCCTGTAGAGAGTCCGGAAGCCCCTGCAGCCCACACAGAACTCTTCCCAACCTCATCCCGACAGCCCTCCAGAGCCCGAGCGGCACCTCCCTCCCCTAGGACCCTCAAACCCAGGGCTTCTTTCTAGCAAATCCCCCTGCCCAGATGGCGCCCCCATCAGAAACGCTGTTGCCTTCTCAGGGAAGACCCTGAGCCCTCCTCCCAGCCCCGTCTCCCTCATGCCTGTGTTCAGCCCTTCCAGCCAGCCCTGGGCTGGGAGGGGATGTGGGGTGGGCACAGATGAACCTGGAAGACGGTGAGGAGCACGGCAACCACCCTGCTCAGCCTTGCTTTCTCAGCCTCAGTTTCCTTATCCGTGAAATGGGGTGGCGAGGGGCTGAACTGGTACCCCCTCAAATTCACCATGTTCTGGTCCTCTCCCCTGGTATCGCAGAAGGTGACAGTCTTTGGACACGGGGTCTCTATAGAGGTAATTCAGTTAGAATGAGGTCCTGTGGGTGGGCCCTGATCCAGTATGACTCGTGATCTTGGAAGAAGAGGAGAGGAGGACACAGACACACAGGAGGAAGACCGCGTGGAGACACGGGGGAAGACGGCCAACTCCCAGCCAAGGAGAGAGGCCTCAGGAGAAACCAACCTGCTGACACCCTGTTCTCAGACCTCCAGCCTCCAGAACTGGGAGACGATGAACTTGTTCAAGCCGCCCAGTCTGTGGTACTCGTTACGGTGGCCCCGGCACAGTCACACGGGGTAATGAGAAGAAGGCCCACCCTGCGTGGCTGCCAGGGCCGGGGTGGGCGTGTGACGGGCTGCCTGCTTCTGTAAATCAGGTTTTGCTGGTCTGCCAGTGCCACCCCTTCACCTGTTCTCTGTCTGTGGCTGCTTTCCTGCCGGGACGGCAAAGCTGAGCAGAAGGGAGGACGTAAGGCCTGGGGGGGGGGCCAAGAACATTGACACTCTGGCCTTTTACCGAAAAGCTCTACATCCCCCTGGTGTGCAGAGGGTGCTTAGCTCAGACACCTGGCATGTAAGCACGAACGTGCCGTCACTAAGTGATCTGGGCCTTCTGTGAGACAGGAGTGGGGGGGAGGGAGAGAGAGTCTCTTTCTGTTTCCCTCTCCTCTCCCCACGGACCCCCCACCCCTCAGGTCCCAGGGAAGGAGGAGCCAGGCCGGTGCAGCTCTAATGTATTAAGGTCAGGACAGCTTGCCCCCACGGACCCCACAAGGAAACCAAAGATCCCCGACTGCAGCTCTCTGCTCTGACAGAGCCACTCAGACGCCCTGTACGCAGCATGGCGGGCATGTGCAGCCCCAGACAAGGGAGTCCTCCCCTTGAACTGCTGAGTTCCCTGCACCAGCTCCCATACGTTCCACTTCCTCTAACCCTCCATGCGACCTCCTTCCCCACGGTGGAGCAGCGCCACGTGCCAGGTGTGCTTTCCCACCCACCCAGCAAAGAGTCCCCCTGCAGGGTATGCAGACCCTTCCTCACTTAAGCAGTGGCATCACCAAGGCTTGATCAAGGATAGACGGACATGTTTCCAAGTGAAC